AACAAGATTTGTAAGCACTGTAGGCAAAAGGCATAAGGAGATAAACCACAGAAGAGTCTCTGTACTTGCTAGCCGACAGGGAAAACTCAGGGGTCAGCACATCACAAAACCTCTGAAAAATAACCCATTGACACAGTTTGTCAAACTTAGGGTTCTCAAACTTTGATGAGACTGCCAATTAAGAGTTTCCCTGGAAGAGAATTTTGTTATAATGTCTTAAGAGCCTCAAAAATCTTCTCCTTAGTCCTCTTCAGGGACTGCCTTCCAAGGCACCAGCGTGTGCAAAGGCTTTGTCATGCAGTGCCATTATTTATAAGTGTCATTAATACGATCCTCCACACGACCGGCCACAGAATTGTGATTCCTGCACTGAAAGTTCATATCACTCTTACCTAGCATCATCTTGAAAAATAATGAGATGTGTAGATGTTAGAATAGGTGGTGGGTGTTGAAGGGGGTGGGAGCAGTCGGGGTGTCTGGATGTGGAGTTTTAGGGTTGCCTTCTGTCTTGGCGGGATGCTGGAAACACCACTTTTCTCGTGTGTGTGTGTGTGTGTGTGTGTTTTGCTATTAGTTGAGAAGTCTTTATAAAATATAATAAGAGAGGATAGACCGATCTTTCCTTAGTAAACAGTCTGTTTTTATTTCTAAATTTTTCTCTGACAAGTTGAGATTTTGTATCTTCTAGAATATAGACGTTTTACCAGCCTGTGTCTGTGGGGTCTTCTTTCAGTATTCCCCCCAACCCAGCTCTAGAGATGTCCAGTGGATCTGAAGTCTTACTGTGAGGGTGTGTTTGTCGGTTACTTCTCAGACTCCTTATCCATCTATTCCTCCCTTATTGTCTCTGGAAACTCCTGTTACGCAGATATTGGTGCTTCTGGCTGTAACATCTATTTGTGGAATTGTTCTAAGAATTTACAAGCTTAGCCCCCAGCAGCATATCTACCAAGAGCTTTATTTTGGCAGTTATGCATTCTTTTTGGTCCTTCAGTTACTACTTTTTTGTAAATCCCACTGAAAATGTGAGTTAGAGTTACTTTAAAGGTACTCTCCTGATTCTTGCATTTATTATTATGATAATGATGCCTCCATGAGCATTTACTCTGTCTAGCTTGGTGTGCTTTCTGCTTGCTCATTGCCTCTGATGTGTGCGGACACCCCCTGCATCGTTGGTGAGGCCTGGCCGCCAGCACAGGGGCCGGCCGACTACTTTGTGTACAAGGCTCAGGGAGGTGTTCGTGACCGTGCCTTTTGAAGTCAGCCCCTTTGTTAGTTGCCAGGTAGGTGTGCTGCGGGGATAAGTGCCATCTATGCTTTCGTGTTTCCAAGATGTCTCCGCAGTGTTTTCATAATTGAAAATAAAAATACCATACACTGTCACTATGTTGGTGACCCTGGCGCCCTGTTGACTCTTCCTCTGACCCATGCCCTCAACATGGAGGGTGCTAGTTCTAGTTCTCTCCTTCTGCCTTCCCTGCTGCTCTTCTGTGCCTGCTGCCCTGCAGCCCCCATTCCTCACGTGCATAGAGGCTCCAGGCTTCTGATCTTCTGCCTCTGCTTCGTCATCTCTGTCCACCGTGTGCACAGTAGAGAAGTCCCTTCCAAAGCACAGATCTGATCACTGGCCGTCTCCTCTGAGTCCCCTTCGATTCTCTTCTTCTCCCTGCTGGTTGAGTGTGACCTCTTGAACCTGGCATGCTCCCGGGACTAGCTGGTCCTAGCTGTGCGCCCGCCATCACCTCTAACCCATTTCGTTGCTTCTCCGATGTACCCTGGCACGTCGCTGGGTTTGGTCCACTTCGGTCGTCAGGGGCAGTCTGGAGATGATAGCAAGCTGGCACCATCGGACTCACCTGTTGGTGGTGTCCCAGGGACCCGATGAGCAGGCTGAGCACTGTACCCTGAGTGTGAGGCATAGGAGGCCCCAGTGAAGGGAGATGGAGAATGTGAGAGACAGAGTCACTGAAGGTGTATCCGAGGCTCAGGAGGAAGAGCGAGCATGCCGACAGCAGAGCGGAAGTATATCCGTACAGAAAGGACCCGTATGCACGGCAGATGGGGCTCCTGTATGTAGTTCAGGGGGAGGTGTCCCGTGTGCTCTGGGAACCCGGGCAGCCACACACAGAAACAGCCCACCTGTAACCACAGAGCAGGCAGACGGCAGAAGTAGGGATGCTCCGGCCTCTTTGCCGACTTTGCTTTTGCTCGGAATTCTTTGTTTTGTTCTGTTTTTGAATTGTTGTGAAAACACTTGAAGAACACAGAAAAAGGGTAATTTTACCTGAGTAATCTCTGTTAGGCCTTCAGTGTTTTCTAAGCAGTGTCTCCTCTGAGTATAGAAAGTCTCCACTTTTAGGGCACCTGGGTGGCTAAGTCAGTTAAGCATCCAGCGTCGGCTCAGGTCATGACCTCACAGCTCCTGAGTTTAAGCCCTGCGTCAGGCTCTGTGCTGACAGCTCAGATTCTCTGTTTCCCTCTTTTTCTGCCCCTCCCCCACATGCACTCTGTTTCTCTCTCTCTCTCTCTCTCTCTCTCTCAAAAATGGATAAGCGTTAAAAAAAAATAAAGTCCCCATCTTTATGTATTGGAAACTATATGGTTAAATGGGTCCTCTTATCCCCTACAAGCAGCAGAAATGATAAGGAAAAATATGCCCCACTCATCCCTGTTACTGAAAAGGTAAAACTTTTTAAAAAGTCCCCAAACTGCAGTAAGTCCCACAGACTTACTCTGTTATAAAGTTGGCTGTATCTGGTGACGTACGTATCCCTGCTTCCCACGCTGGAACATGCATCCCTTGGGGGACAGGGTCTTGTGCTAAGGATCCACATGACACATTGGGGTGCCATTTTTAGGAGGAGGGAAATGTTTTTACACCAGGTTTTCTCAGCTTATTCACATTTGAGGCCAGGTAGTTCTTCACTGTGGGACCTGCCCCGTGCATTGTACGATGTTGAGCAGCATTCCTGGCCTCTAGCTATCAGATGCCAGTAGCTCTCCCCTGGTTGTGATGGCTCTAGACATTGCCAGATGTCCCCTAGAGGGAAAATCACTCCTGGTTGAGAGCTGCTGCTTTCAACAGACATGGATAGGATATGACCAAGAATGCAAAATGTGCATATGTACTTAAACCAAAAGAGCTCCCCCAGGTCATGATCTCACGGTTTGTGAGTTCAAGCCTGTATCTGCCTCTGTGCTGACCGCTTAGAACCTTGAGCCTGCTTCAGATTCTGTGTTTCCCTCTCTGCCCCTCCCTGGCACACGCCCTCTCTCTCTCTCTCAAAAATAAATAAACATTAAAAAAATTAAAAAAAAAAACAAAAAACCTAACCCCTCCCCCCCACACAAAAGACTTAAAAAAACCAAAAGAGCCCCTCAAAGAAGTTTGATATGTGCTTTTGATTTTGTTCTACTTGAGGTAACTTGATATTCTGGCTTGTCTGTTTCAGTTTTCCCCCTGGCTCATCCAAAGTCATTATTGAATGAAAGTCCGTAACAGAATTCCTACACAGGAAGGTTTCCTACTTGTATTTCTTTCCTTTTTTTTTTTTTTTTTTTACTTATTTGAGAGAGAGCATGAGCAGGGGAGAGGGGCAGAGAGAGAGAGAGAGGGGAGAGGGTAGCTGGGTGCAGGGCTCCATCCCATGACCCTGAGACCATGACCTGAGCCAACATCAAGAGTCGGATGCTCAGTGCGGGGACTGAGCCACCCAAGTGTCCCTCCTACTTGTATTGCTGAACTTTGTAGATGTGTCTTCACATTTGAGGACCGTTTGGCTGGGTTATTCATTCTCAGTTGGAACAGTAGTTGGCACTGAGATCTGACATTTTTCTAATGAATGTTCTGTCCCTTCTCACCCCTACTTGATTGTGATTTTTTTTTTTTAATAAAACTTTGGGCATACTCAGGCATGTTTTATTGTACCCATGCCAGTCCTTGTGGGGATCCTTTGTGTCCTCTCGTTCCTGGAAGCTGAAATTCCCCAAATGCTTATTAATTTTTTGGGTGGATTTCTTTCATTGTCTAAGTCCTACTTCTGTTGTTTGACATTGAGTTTTTAATGTTCTTTACTAAAACTTGGCCATATAGAATTGTTCCAGTGATTTCCTACTCATGACTAGTGCTTAGATTTTTTTCTTAGCTTAGAGCAGTGCACTTTTCCTCCGCAAACAGTATCAGTTTGTCCATTCATTCTGGGTCCATCTTGTGCTCCTTCCTCGTCTCCCTTATCTCTTGCCCTCTGTTTTGTCTCTGGTTTCTTGTTTATGTTGTCATTTGATTGATACGGAATGTTGTCTCTGTGTTTTGTGTGGCATTCTAGCCCGTTTAAAGGTCATCTTGCCATGTCTAGAACCCTAGCCATTTAATCCTAGGTTGGTTTTATCCCCACACCCCCTTCCCCTCGCACCCCCCCCCCCTTTTAAAATGCTTTTGGATGCCTTCCCCTGCCTTTAATTGGGCACTTCTAGGCAATTCAGAATTTTTGATACCCTGGTAAATTGGCTGTGGTTACCACTAGTGACATGTGATTCTTTAAATTCAAATCGGTTAAAATCAAATACAAGTAAAAATTTGGTTTCTCTATTGCACTAGCCACAGTCCAAGGGCTCCATACTAAGAGCCTTGTGGGTGGTGACTATTGGGTTGGACGAGGCAGATGCAGAACATTTCATCACTCTGGCAGGTTGTGTTGGACGGTGCTGGGCTGTGAGATTTGTGCCATAACGCATGCCAAAGAAATCCCTGTGCTGCCTTTTCATCCTTATATTGGGTATTTCTGATGGTCCAGTTCAATGGTCCCCCTCCCCAGGGGGCAATTCAGAATCTGCATGACTGTAACCAAAATAGTGGGGACTTGAAACGTGAGATAAAGTAACGTGCTTTTTTGATGTTTGGCTGTGACTTAACACTGTGACCTGTCTTTGGAAATGCAGTGGATGTGTGTCCTGTGCTATTTGTGTGCCCGTAGTGATGTGGCTGCTTCCTCTCTTTCTAGGTGCTGAGAGATGGCACTTGTGGGGCTCATCTCTGCCTGAAAATTGGGTGCTCCAGGCACTGGAAGAGCCAGCTCAGATCCTGGGCTCCTCGCTTGAACAAGCCTTCTCTTCCAGCCACTCTAGTCCAGCAGCCAACCTGCTCATTTTCTCTTAATGATGGGTATTGGTAAGAACACTACGTCCAAATCCATGGAGGCTGGAAGTTCAACTGAAGGCAAATATGAAGATGAAGCGAAGCACCCCGCTTTCTTTACTCTTCCGGTAACTATGCTCCCTTCTTTCTCTCACCTTGAATCACTCTCAAGTAGTTTCTTTATTGAATCAGCATAGGATTAGCTTTAATACCCGTGTTGTCAGTGAAGGTTAAGGCATTTGAAAACCAAATGCTTTTCACGTGAGACAGTCTTTGGGAACCCTGTTGGCTGACTCTGGTTTTGGCCCTCCTACTTTCTGTCCAGTCACCTGATGGGATTAGCTCCAGGAAGGAAGCAGGCATTGGTGGGAACATCATAAAGTCAGCCCAGTGCCTGCTGTGTACTGGAGCGTGCTACGAGCTTAATTCTGTCTTCAAAACTGTGTTCTATCAAAATAACCCCAAACCTAACTTTGGACTTAAATTGCAAAGTAGGAGAATGAATGGATGACTTCTCATTTGGAATCTAAAAGTCTATGCTTTGTATTATGGTAATAGCATCCAAGATGTAGTTTTTACTTGGACAAGTGTTATCAGTTAGATAAGGCTAATTACACACATTCATTATATTCACTATTTTTCCAGATATAAGATTATGATTTGATGTGTATGAAGTTACCTGAAGTGTTGATTCAAAAAAGGGAAGAGCTCTTCAAAGAGAACTTGGCCTCTGTCTGTTTTTCTTTTAATACTGGAAATGAGGTTAAGGGGGAGAATACCTTATTTTAGGATTCCTTAACGAATGGTCCTGGAATTTATCTTACTGTGGCATTAACTCAGGAAGAAGGATGTGAACACACATGCATCTTTAAGCACACTGATTGACCCGACTTGCATTCACATTTTGATTTTTTTTTTTACCCTATTAATTTGCAGAGACATCCCGATGATCTTACACTTCACGTCACTGTTTTCTTTCTTCCTATAAAGTGAAAATTTTAAACTGTATTTCTGCTGTGTTGAAGGCTTAGAATTGACCCAGATAGGCTTTCTTGAGAAAGAGGCAAGTTGTTTTTTCAAGTTTAAAAAAAGATCACCTTTGAAAAATGAAAAGGAGGGTTTCGTGCTTGATTATCGATTTGTCTCCCCTGCTGCCTGAGAGCCCAGCAGACCCCTTGCCCTCACCCTCTGTTTGAAAAAAGAAGTTGAGCTTGCCTTAGCCACCCACCCACCTGTCGTCAAGATCACTTACTTTCATATTCAGATTGTGGTACTCTACAGCGAGTTAAATCCACTGCATTTGCTATCCTTTTTCATATTTATTCCCTGTTTCCCTCTCCCTCCCTCTTTGCTCACTTCTCTTTAAAAACAACAACAACAAAACACAAAACAAAACAAAAAAACACAGAGGGTCTATGAACGTCACTGCCTTCGTCTTTGTACATCTGAAAATAACTGTATTTTGCTCTCAACTCTTGGATGAACTTCTGTTAATTACACACTAGAGCTTTCCAGTCGGTCTGTGTTTCTCTTTAACTACATTCTCATGGTTTGGATGTCTTTTCCTAGTGATAATTCTGGATAGATTCCACAGTGTTATTTTCCAGTTTACTAGTTCCTTGTGTCATGTGTTTATGTTGAATTTTTGTTGCATTGATTACAGTTCTTATTTCTGAGATTTCAGTTTGGTTCATTCCTGCCTATTTTTGGTTCTTAATTTCTCGTATGTGTGTTTGTGTTGTTTAAAAATGTTTCTTTATTTTAACCACCGAGGACCCTAATGTACTTATTTTAAAGTAATTCTCCAGTTCTGTTTTCATCCGGTGTGAAATTCCCTTCTGAGAGTTTTGTTTTGTTTTGTTTGTTTTTGTTTTTGTTTGTTTTTTGGGGGGGAGATTTTCCTGCCTCTGCCTGCCACCCCGCAGTTCTGTGCTGTGGTTTTGCACTCTCCCTTCCTGGATCCAGTCCAGTCCCAGGTCTTCTGTCAGAGGTTCTGCTCTCTCCCTCAGTGGTGCAGACCGTGACCTGACCTGCTCGGTCCTGGCTTTGAGCACTGGACCTGGTTCTTTTCCCCCTTAGGTTGGGGCTCCCAAGCCCTGTCTCTCTGTTGGAGCCAAGGGCTGCCTGACCGAGGTCTGCTGGGCTCAGAGCCTTGCCTGGTACAGTGTCAGCCTACTTGTTGCTTTTTATGTTTCTTGTTACAGAAATATTTGTCTTTTTGGGGGTTTTCCCCCTCTATTGCTCTTAAAAAAATTTTTTTAATGTTTATTTTATTTTTGAGAGAGAGAGCAAGAGTGTGCAAATGGGGGAGGGGCAGAGAGAGAGAGGGAGACACAGAATCTGAAGCAGGCTCCAGGTTCTGAGCTGCCAGCACAGAGCCAGACTCAGGGCTTCAACTCACAAACCTGCGAGGTCATGAACTGAGCCAGTCACCACTTAACTGACTAAGCCACCCAGGCACCCCCTTCTACTGTTCTTTATAGGAGTGGAGCTAGGAAGGGAGTGTTCTTCAAAGTATTAGCTTCGAGATCCATCTTCACGAGGAATTCCTGCAAGTACATGGGCGCTGAGAACGTGGACATAATGTGTAGTTGGATATAAATATAATGTGAATATAGGTCGGCTTAACACTACAGCAGTTTCATTAGGGAACTTAGAGAATTTTTACCCATGTCCGGCTGTCAAGGTAAGTATCAAAAAGGGGGATGAAAAAAGGGAAATAGAGTTGGCTCATGGGCTCACACTGCCAGGAGGAGAGAAAGATGGAGCGGGTGGCGGGGAGGCCGTGAAGTTCTCGGCGTGTGAACCACCAACATAACTTGGAAGCAGGGGTGTCAGGAAGTGTGTTCTCATGAGCTCCTGCAGAGCCTACAAGAAAACAGGAGGCAAATTGGCAGAAGGAAAACGGTGAAAACGTTTGTTAAAGAAATAGTTTGTGTGGAGGAAGGCTATATTGAGTCACTATGAGATTGCTGCCTAAGAAAACTGAAAGTAAGATAGAGACCTTTTTTCATGATTTGTTTGTCATCAGGACAGGTCTAGGGGGCCAGGTCACTGTCCAACTGGTAGGATTATTTGGGGCGCTGCCTCTCTGCTCTTGGGACCTACATCTGTATCTCCCTGGTCCTCGTTGGGCCCAGAAGGTCCTCGTTGGGCCCAGAAGGTCCTCGTTGGGCCCAGAAGGTCTTGACACTGATTGCATAGAATCTGACAACCTGAGAGCTAAAGGTGGCTGTAGAACTCTCCTGATAGTTCTGTGGGAAGGTGAAGAACACGGGTTTGCCCGAAGCACACAGTTCACACAGTGCGTTAGGTAAACTTTATGTCAATTGGATCACACAGGCTCAGCTCCCAGTGGTTCACAGCCAGGGAGGAAGGCAGGAGCTGCCCATAAGCAGTACTAACGACAGGTAGGGTGGATTGATCTTTTGACTCGAACAGATGTTCTCTGGATGTTCTTAAAGAAAGAGATGGGATGGGTGGGGAATGAACAGCTGTAGCTGATGCTCTGGCGGGAGCAGAGGTGAAAAAGGAGGGTCAGTCTCCTATGAACGAATAATGAATAGGTCACAGTAAGAACCAGAGACTTGCAAAGCCCTGGCATTCACAGCAGTTAGATCGTGTGATCAGAATTGATATCAAATAGGAGAAACATAACAAAAGATCTCCTTATCCCACGGGAATCTTGTTAGGCAAATTTGTATGCTTTAAAAGGCAACTAGGAAATGTGTAATATGGGTGAATGCCACGTGGCAAGAAATTAGAACCAGAAAAATGGTAAAGAGTCTTGAACCCTAAGGACACTGGCCAGGAAAAGGTCATGTGTTTGCTCTGCAGTTCTCCTGTGTCATAGCTCTTATGTCCTGTGAACCTGGAGGGGTGTCCAAGGCAAACCATGTTAATAGCCTTAACTTTGTGTTGGCAGAGGCCCACCGGTAGTACAGCCCGTTGTTTCAGCACGTTGATGTTCCAATGCCAAGTTCACAGCTGGCAAAAGTATTTAAGGTTCCTTAAGGTTTTGTGTCTTCTGCCTTTTGTAATAGTCTCTGTGAGAATATTGGGTCTCTTCTCATGGTGCCAAGAGTAGATCATTTAGTCTGGAGATGTTAGGAGTACGGACTGAAGGGTAGCTTCATTAGGTTCAACTTTATGGGGTGGGAGAAACACTCCTCGTCCATACAAATCCATCATTTGTTTCAATTTCCCTAGTGTGGTTTTTTCAGAGTCCTGTAGTGGTAGGAACCCGTGGTGCCCCCAGTGGGTGGTCACCACACACAGCCAGTAATAAGCTGCCACGCCCCAGCAGGACAGAGATGGCAGGTCTGCCCTTGAGGGACCTCTGCCTGGCAATGTTATGGTGGGGGAGGGGGTAGCTGGCCTGCCACAGATTCCCAGGGGAGAGGACCTCAGAGTCCTAAGAAATGTCTGATGAAGCAGGTCAAGAGGTGGGAGACCGAGGGCCGTTCAGCTGGGGAACAACATGACCATGTCTTGTCCTGGCACAAGCTTAGTACAGTCAGAATGCAGAAAATGGAGTGGGGAGCCGGGGGTAGGGGGGGTTGATGAACGATTGTGGCAAAGTTACTTGAGCTTTGGGAAAGGAAAGCGCCTGCAGGTAGAAAGCCCAGGCAGGGTGTTAACGGCAGTCCAGGTAGGAACCGGTCAAGGCCTGGTCTGGGGATGCAGGCGGGAAAGGGACTGTTTCCTGCAGCAGATGCACACGGGGTACCTGCCTGGCTCCTGCTCTCTTGGAATTGACTTCCAGTGGTGGGAGGAGATGGACAGTAAAGAAGTAGAAGCATTGAATGGCATCCTGTGACAGTCTGTGAAGGATATAAATGAAGAAAGAGAGCTAGTGAGAAATAGAATGTGAAGTCATATAGGGATCATTTAGGACCTGCAGGCCCTTAACTAACTTATCCCCTAAAATGGGCTGAGTACATCCCACAGGTTTAAGGCTCTGGGGGACCGTAGTGAATTAACAGACAAGTCCCTGACCTCATGGCTCCATGCTGGTGACAAGACAGGCAGTGGATGCTAGAAGTAAGTAACATGTGGGGATGTTAGATATTGATAATTATTCATGAAGAAATAAAATGGGGAAAAAGGAGAGAAACGGCTGGGAGTG